ATATATTAAACGAAAGAAGATACCGAAAAGCATTGAACAGTGCACACATCTCATAAGGAAAAGTGAATTATTACGAAATACTAATACAGTGGCAGCACAATAGCTATTTTGGAATCTCGCGTTTCAGCTGGCAAAGATTGTCAACTTCTTTTTAATAACAAAATAATCTATCTTAGGTTGATAAAACTATGTGTTTCTTTAATAAATAAGTTAAATTATATATTTTAATAGTGTTTAAAAAGTGTGAACAGGTGATTTAGTGAATCTTTGTCGGTGTAATTGCCCATCGAAAACAACGAAATTTAACAAAAGTTTTTTGTTCATAACTTTTAAATGGTTAATAATATTATCTCCCCCCCTCCGGATTGTTAATAGGGGGGCCGAAACGCGTCGTTTGATACCCCTCCCGACTTTTCCGCACCTTTTTTAGGGGTTGTTACCGCACCCTAGAGAATTACCTTTTTTAGTTTTAAAAAATAGATGTTATTTTATTTAACTTTACCCTTATTTGTAGGAGTAAATCAATAAATAGAGCCCAGTCTGAAATGCTGCTAGACAAAATGCTTCAAAAACCCGACATTTCAAGAGGTTTTGCAAAAGAAAATCGCGACAAAGTGGCCGAGTTCTGGAGACAGCTAACATTGTCTTTAAATAGCGTTGGCACACCTGTTAAGAGTGAATTTGAGTGGAAAAAGGTAAACTTGCCTATAGCTATAGTTGTTTATTATACCAAAGTATTTATTAACTAGGTGTGGACTGACCAGAAACGCTATGTACGGAAGAAGGCTTCACAAGATAAAATGTACGAAAGGGGGACAGGAGGCGGACCTAACAAAACGCAAAAATTTTCTAGTGCAGAAGAGGCAATATTCCAACTCCTGGGGATGAAGGAATCGGTTGATGGTATTGAAAGCTCGCAATGCTATGGACTGCCTACAAAAAGAGTTAAGGTTAATTCGGACGCAGAAGTTTTGTCGGAAATCATTGTGCAGTGTNAGCAAACAAATTTACTAGGAAAGAAAGTTGCATCAATTTTTATTTTTTCCAATTTAAATTTTTTATTTTTTATAATTTTTTGTATTTCACATGGCACGCTTTGATTTAGAAGAAAAAATTCAGAACAGTTTTTGACACTTTCGATACCAGAAGCAACAACAAAATACACGCAAATGTTGTTTTTGCTCTACTGATACTACCTGTTTAATGTGCCTTGAGTCACACAATAAGGAAATGCAATACTATGGTAAGAAGATATATCGTACACTACAATGTATATGCGATCAGAAGGAAAAAAAAACTAAATGAAATTAAACGTCATAATTCTGAGATGGAAAAGATGCGAAGAATAGAAATTGAGAGCCTCATTGAAAATAATACAAAGACGTTAGAGTTAAAGGAACTAAAATTAGAAATTCTAAGAAAAGGCAAATCCAAAAATTAAGAGCCTAATTTTTATAAGACTTATGCCCGGTTGATTGGTGCAATTTCAAACTTATCAGCCTGTTAAAATTTCAAATTACACAATTTTTCCGGAAAATATGTAATTTTAAATTTTAAGAGTATGATAAATTATAAAACTGATTGGTGAAACCGAGCATTATTTTTTAATTTTTTTAAAGATCTCGTTTTTTCATATTTTTATTTATATAAAGAGCTTTGTGGAATTAAAGGCCAATTTATGAAACTTACTGTAATGAAATGTTTATGTTTGTGTTTTATATACATACAGTCATGTGAAAAAGAGGAGGGACACGATATTCTGACTATTTTTCGTTTGCTTGTTTAATGTTAAATATGTTTTTTTTTTATAAGAATACAACTCGTTATCTAGCAACAACTATATAAGTCCAAATTTCGAACTCGTAGAAAAATTCAGCAAAATTTTACAACAAACTTTTTGTTCAGAATTTCAAGAAGAGTTCTAAGTATGCAGTTTTATAGCCCATTAAATAAAGTGCAAATTTAAAGTTGGTGAAAAATCCCGTTGCTTTTTGAAAAAAAATTTTTTCTGACGGTGTCACACATTTTCTTTCATACAATGTTCGACAATTTTTTTTTTTGTATGGAAGAAAATGCGTGACACCGTCAGAAAAAATTTTTTATCAAAACTTAACGAGATTTTTCACCAACTTTAAACTTGCACTTTATTATGCTAGAATTTAATGGGCTATAAAACTGCATACTTAGAACTCTTCTTGAAATTCTGAATAAAAAGTTTGTTGTAAAATTTTGCTGAATTTTTCTACGAGTTCGAAATTTGGACTTATATAGTTGTTGCTAGATAACGAGCTGTATTCTTATAAAAAAAAACAAATTTAACATTAAACAAGCAAAAGACAAATAGTCAAAACTAGTCAGAATATCGTGTCCCTATCTTTTTCACATGACTATCTTATATGTAAATAAGATAGGAAATTATCTTGAAAATATTTTTAAATAAAGCTAAATAAAGAATTTAAATTTGTATTCTTTGCTCAAAGGGGGAAGGTACTACTTCCTTCGACTACTGGTTGATTGTCTTCTGTGGAGATTTCACTGAAATCTTCATCAACAGATGGGTTAGAAAAATTTACATCACTTTTGTAGTGAATGCAAATATTATGCAAAGCTGCGCAAACGTTTACTATTTTACTGCCTTTATAGGAGCATAGTACAACTCTCACTAGCACTTAACAGGCACCTCCATCGGTTTTTAAGAACACCATTTCTTCTTTCGATTATATTTCGACAGCGTGTGTGTACTTCATTAAATTTGGCCTGAGCTGAACCACTTTCAGGTGTTCTGTACGGAGTAAGTAGCCAAGGCTCTAGGGGGTACCCAGCATCTCCTGAAAAGTTTGAAATTGTAAATTGATTTTTCGTTGGTTTTAAGCTATTACCTAGTAGCCAAACTTTGTTGTGGGTTTGCAAATAGTTTTGTTCCATTTCAAATCTTAAACTGCTTATGTTCCATATAAAGGCATCGTGACATACACCAGGGTGTGTAGCATCAATAAAGCGAATTCTCAGATGGCTGTCACATACCTGAAAAAAAAAAACATTTATGTAAACCATTATTTTTATTTTAACTTAAATTATGGGGATTCATGGAAACACACTTACGAGCATAACATTCAAACTGCAATTGCCTTTTCTATTGTAAAATTGATGAAGGTTTTTTGAAGGGGATATTATGTTGACGTGAGTTCCATCCACACATCCTATAACTCCTGGTATTGCAAATTTTGTATAAAAATCGTGTGCAATTTGGCGTTGCTCTTCTAAAGTGGGCCAACTTATCCATTGTGGATAAAGCAATAGCTGCAAAATACTTAGCACTTCTGACAGTACCTCGCTAAAGGAAGTCTGAGTTAAACCCACTTCATGGTCCTTTCCAACGCCTTTCTGATGTCCTCCCTCTGCAAAAAAGCGCAAACATGCGCACAATTTAACAATAGGTGGAATTCCAAATTTCTGCTTCAATGGCGGCAAGGAGTTAGTAAGAATATCCAGCAAATACTTAAATGCGGGCTTATTTAGCCTGTAATATTACCGAAAACTGAAATATAAGAAATTTAATTGAAAAATTCCAAGGAAACTTTTTTTTCTAACATTGAATCACTTAACTCCAAAGGGTTGGAATTGTCCCTTAATTGCCTCCTGAGCGCTCTCCCGTTCAAATTCTCCTCACGCTCGCTCAATAGTAACCTAAGTGCAATGCTAAACATGTTGCTAAATATTTTTTTGGGCTCTATTTTTACTTTATTTTAAAGAATTTTATGCTTGCTTACAAAATTAACACAGTAGCAAGTAAATAATTTCGTCACAATTAATTCACCATAGAGTATCAGCTGATTCGAAGTGAAATTTTGTTCGGCCGAAATTGTGGATAGGCGGAATAATTTTACCCGAATAAAAAAAGTTTCGGCGAAATTTTTTCCGGGTGAACTTCTCGATAAGGGTGAATATCTACATGTACTATTTATTCTGTTTGTTGGCACTATATCCAAACACAAGCGCATCTTAAGTGTCTTAACAGTGAAACAATGTATTATTTTCTAAGTTTACGAATAAAACTTCACACATAAAATTAAGACATTTGTAACAAACATTTTATGAAGAAAATCCCTTCGTTTAAAATAAAAATAAGCGAAATCGGCCGAATTTCATACAACCCTGCCTGACATGAAAATTTTCTCCACGATAAGGCTAGTAGCCATTTCTAACAGATTTTGGGTCGCTTAGTCAAAAATAGAAACATATATACATACTTAAAATGTAAGAAAACAAGGCAAATAGCAAAATCGGCTAAAACGGCTAATTTTTTTCTGCAAAGCAGCTAACAAATCGGCTGCCGGCTAAATCGAAATTTCTCCGGCTGTTTGCCTGTGTAAACGGGGTGATTAAAAAACGAGCTTTGATTGAGGTGATATTGATATGTGAACATAGTTTTACACATATTTATTTTCACAAATACATCCAAACCGACTCGCAAGTCAGACGCACTGTATATGCCACCTATTAATGCTTATGGTATGAAATTCATGTATTTATGTATAATCAATGTCTAAGCATTTATATACAGCCGAATTCGAAATACTCCCGGCCAGTTCATTCCTCCCGGAGTCTCTCCCGAAATTCTCTTTTGACAGTTGAAACGTAAACAATGTAATAAAACCAATTTGTTAATTTCTATTATTAAATTACATTTTTCTTATTAAACTATAGATAAAATGTACACCATAGCCTTCCATTTGGTAGCAGAAGAGATGGACGAAGATGTGGAGCAGAATGTGACACAAAGAAGGCACTTACGCGATGCAACAAACCCGCTTGAGTTGCCCCAAGCTTTGTAATTAGAAAAAGAAATTAGTATACTTATTTCCATTAATATTTGTGTTTTTAAAGATTTCAGAAATATCATAGGGTAAACAAAGCAGCTTTTCGGTACTTGCTGGATGTACTAACAGCGCATACCCTGCCAGCAAAAAAGCCATTTGCTATTTCTCCGCTGATAAAACTGGACGCAACTTTGCGCTTCTTTGCAGAAAGAATACGACGTTTCTCTTGCTCAATGCAGCCTCAGCAAAGTGGTTGGCGGAGTTATAAATATTTTTGAAACTAATCTTTGCACAAAATGGATCCGCTTTTGCAGAACGGCGGAAGAAAAACGCAAAATTTCATTGGCACTTTACTGAAAGCATGACATTCCAAGTGATATGGGATGCATAGATGGGACACACGTCCGCATTATAGCTCCCTCCCAGAATAAACACTTATATTATAACCGAAAGGGAAACTACAGCTTAAATATCATGCTGGCAAGTGATCGACGTTTTATAATTTTTTACTTCTAATAAAAAATATTTTTCAGGTGTGTGATCATAGACGCATCCCACCCCGGTGCTTGTCACAATTCCTTTGTGTGGAATACCAGCGAGCTACGAACTCACCTTGGACAAGAATATCTAAAAGACGTGGGCAATTATTTTCTGCTTGGTATAGTATTTGAACGATATTAAAAAGTAAAAATTATTTAAAATTGTTTTTTAATAGGAGACGCTGGATATCCTCTAGAGCCGTGGCTTTTAACTCCGCATAGAAATCCACAGGAAGGATCTGTTGCAATGAAATTCAACGAAGTTCACTCGCAATGCAGAAACGTTATAGAACGTACGAATGGAGTGCTAAAAAATCGGTGAAGATGCCTTCTTGGAGCAAGAGAGTTACATTACGCCCCAGAAAAGGCAGCAAAAATCGTTAATGTGTGTTGTGCATTACACAACATATGCCTTTTTTTCAAAGTGAATAGTGTTATTGATTTCGCCGAGTCACACAATTGAACTGCCCAAGAAAGTGAGGTGATATCCCTTGCTTCAGCCCAATATTTGTCTACTGCGCAAAGAATTGGAAATAACATTGGAAATAATATATAAATAGTCAGTTTCAAAAATATGAATACCCAACAGAAAAAACCAGCAGAATCAGTTTCTTTAATTTCGTATAGGACTCGGGGAAAATTGAAGAAATACGAAAGAATTGTCATCAAAATTTTCAACTTTTCAATTCCATTTCTTAGAAAAATTTCGGGTATGCAGTTTTGTAGCCCATTAAATTTTAGTACAATTATGTGCAAGTTTGAAGTCTCTAAAATTTACCGTTGCTTTTTGAGATTTTTTTTTTGTCAAGGGTGTTTAGCATTTCAAATAAATGTAACAAAAGAAAGAAGTACAATTAAAAATTCTAAATGTGTTTTATTAAGACTATAACAAACAGTCACATGGGAGTAGAAATGGTGGTGAAATGCGGTCCTTATAACCGTAAAATGACGGTCATAAAGCCTGTAAAATGACGATCAATAAGCCTGAAAAATGACGGTCGTTATAACCGTATAAAGGCGATCATTTCAACCGTAAAATGATGGTCATTGTGCCCGTAAAATGATGGTCATTGTGCCCGTAAAATGGCGGTAACTATGCCCGTAAAATCACGGTCGTTATAACCGCAAAATGGCGGTCTTGAGCCCGTAAAATGACGGTCATTATGCCTGTAAAACGACGGTCATTATGCCCATAAAATGACGGTCATAATACCAGTAAATTCCTTAAGACAAAATTTGGTCATTTGACTAGTAAAAATCAGAGTAGCTATACATTTAGCTAAGCGCACAAGACATGAGGGAGAGCGAGATGTAAAGTCACACGTACGGGAACATAAAGAAAGAAACGGTCACAAAATCTACCGATGCCCTTAAGAATGTGATGGGAAAAATACGGAAAGTTTCAGTCATGGCTCCAGGTCATTTTACTAATCATTTGACCAGTATCTTTCTTGCAGGGCAGCGACGCAGAAATAGCAATAGAAAAACGAGCGATTAAAAACTATTCACAGTCGCTTATTGAGCCACTAGTCGACACTCATAATAGCATCGATAATCGATAATCGCTTAATAGTCGATTGTCTACTGCCAATCGACACTCGCAATAGGGGTGTTCCAATAGTTTTCCAATCGTTCTCAAACCTTGTAGGCGGCATACACGGTGCGTCTGAATCGCGAGTCNCTTAATAGTCGATTGTCTACTGCCAATCGACACTCGCAATAGGGGTGTTCGAATAGTTTTCCAATCGTTCTCAAACCTTGTAGGCGGCATACACGGTGCGTCTGAATCGCGAGTTATTTGTGTACGTGTTGACTCAGCTTCGACTACACACAGTTGAATCATTCAGAGTCATGTCGATGTAATTAATACTAGGTTCACATATAAGTAGCTTATCCTCATTTTCGAGCTTAACTTCCTAATGTGTAATTAGAAAAAGAGAATAGCCATATAAAATTCCGCCCTTGTTAATCTGTAATTATAAAATAATCTCAGATTTAACCGATAACTTTTCGGTGTCCATTCTAGTTTTATCGATTGTTTTTGCGAAGAAGAGGAGAAATGGCAAATGTAAAAGTAAACAAAAATGGACGCTAGCAAGGAAAGGAAAGTTTTAAAGGTATTTTTTAATAAAATGTTAAGTTAAAATATATCTATATTGCTTAATATAGCAGAAAAACGTGATCACAGAGAAGAAACATAACTTTTCCTTGAGATGTGAGAATAACAAGCACAACAAATTTGACGGCTAATAATCTAGAGATTTGCCTGTGTAAGCGGGGTGATTAAAAAACGAGCTCTGATTGAGGTAATATTGATATGTGAACATAGTTTTACACATATTTATTTTCACAAATACATCTAAACCGACTCGCAAGTCAGACGCACAGTGTATGCCACCTATTAATGCTTATGGTATGAAATTCAGGTATTTATGTATTATCAATGTCTAAGCATTTATATACAGCCGAATTCGAAATACTCCCGGCCAGTTCATTCCTCCCGGAGCCTGTTGTGCTCGAGAATAAAATCCTCCAATTCTAAACTATCGGGGAAAATCAAAATATGAGAATAGAGGTTCCAAAATGTGAAGTTGGCTGTGTTTCTTTGAAGAAATTCTCTTTTGACAGTTGAAACGTAAACAATGTTATAAAACCAATTTGTTAATTTCTATTATTAAATTACATTTTTCTTATTAAACTATAGATAAAATGTACACCATAGCCTTCCACGAAGATGTGGAGCAGAATGTGACACAAAGAAGGCAGTTACGCGATGCAACAAACCCGCTTGAGTTGCCCCAAGCTTTGTAATTAGAAAAAGAAATTAGTATACTTATTTCCATTAATATTTGTGTTTTTAAAGATTTCAGAAATATCATAGGGTAAACAAAGCAGCTTTTCGGTACTTGCTGGATGTACTAACAGCGCATACCCTGCCAGCAAAAAAGCCATTTGCTGTTTCTCCGCTGATAAAACTGGACGCAACTTTGCGCTTCTTTGCAGAAAGAATACGACGTTTCTCTTGCTCAATGCAGCCTCAGCAAAGTGGTTGGCGGAGTTATAAATATTTTTGAAACTAATCTTTGCACAAAATGGATCCGCTTTTGCAGAACGGCGGAAGAAAAACGCAAA